GGGGAGGGATCAACAAAAAACTCATAAGAAGCTCATAAGAATTCAATTAAAATTGGATTTCGTAGAGACAGAGGGAATATTACTTTATTTTACCAAAAATAGTCTTAATTTTTTCCTGCCACTATATTTTGGTATTATTTTGGCCAAAAAAGAGTTTTCAGCTTGGCTTAAATAAAGAATAATCCAAATCTGGCTTAAATCTTGGCCTCCGCTGGAGACTCTCTGTTGGATCCCATCGTATATGGCTATTAAAAATGGCTGCTAACATGGCTGCGAACAACACACACACACACACACCGCGAAGAAGAAGAGAGGAGACACATAACCCACACAAACACACACACACACGGGGGGGCAAGCATTTAAATCGGAGCAGCTTCACGAATGGAGTTGCAAAACAGAACGCCCAAAGGTTAATCAACTCTGCATTTTGCAACCGACTCTCGCCACAGCGCGACTCTCTCGCCAGAGTTTCCCCATCGGCGGCCCATCGGTAGGGTTGCCATCGCGCAACTCCACTCCATGTTTGTTGTTTGTTGTTGTCTGTGGCACGAAAGTGGGTAGCAAAGCGGATAAAGCCAAAGCCGAGGAGGAGTGGAGCTGCGAAGGCCAAGCAGCGTCTAATTGAATTGGTTGCATGATGCCCCCACCTGCCCCCTTGCGTCCACCACGCCTCCTCGACATTTTTTTCGCCCATGACAATGGTATTGAGTGGAAATAAACAAACGCAGAGAGAACTCTCTGCAGGGAGAGCCCCCCGGAAGAGAGTCTCCCGAAGAGTGGCTAAGAGCTGTGGCGTGTTGCATAATTTTGGCCAACTGCATAGGTGCTGTGGCAAGCATGTGTGTGGGTTTGTGGCAGTGGCTTTGTCCTTGGTTTTTTTTTTTTGGAAGATACTATTTTCCTAATGCAATATTTGATTCTCCTTATTCTCCTCCGATTTTCCTTGATCCTTTCATCCTTTTAATGTAAGTCTCCCCTCTATTGACTTTCTGAAAATATCCTTTTAGTGAAAATTACGATTCAAACGTCGCAATTTTAATTAAAATCGCACTCCCCGAGATAAATGAGAATTAATGACTAAAGTTCGATTGGAGGAAAGCCAACAGTTTCCAGATCATTGCCTTCCGCCAACAGGACCCAAATGAAAATATATATTTGATTAATGATTCCAAAAGGGGGGTGAGGGGTCCGGCCACTCTGCATAAAAGTGATTTATGCCACAAATTAAAAATGGCGGCAAACAAATTAAATGACATTTATGCAAAGATTTATATCGGGAATACTGGGCGTATGAGTGATATTTTTTAATGCCATCGATTTAAAAGGGATTTCTTCATCAGATTGAAGAAAGGTTTGAAAGAACCATTAAACAACATTTTAGGATCTTAAATTCCTGCTTTCTCCACAAAACTTGTTACACGGGGCGTATGGGTAATATTTTTAAAAAGACTTGCTTACTAAGTAATTGACTGTTGTAGTGATGCAGGGAAAATCGCTAGGGTTTCAACATAAAACTATTGTAAAGGTAGATCAAAAAAAATATATTTTATTAAATTTTATAATTTGTATTGCAAAAAAATTATATTTTTCATAACTTTATAGAGCTGCCACATACTTTTTGTTAGCAAATGTACTTTAAAGATTCTTGTATTTGTTGTTAATAAATTTTATTAAATTGCCTCATAGGAAAGTAAACAAAGACAGAAAGAGAAACACCTAGGGACTTAAGAGAGCCAACGAGAATCGAACGGGTTGCAAAAAAACGGCATTGTGCAAAAACAATTCGGAAGCTCTCAGTGCTCAGTTATGCTGTTGCAGCGCAGCTCTGCCGGCTGTTACCGGTTTTTATGGCCGCGGCAGAAGCAGCAGCGACAGCAGCAGCAGAGGTGGCAGCAGCACCAGAAGTAGGAAGGAAACCAGAAAGCGCCCCTCTGAATGGGTGTATTGGTGGACGACGTGCATTGGTGTGTGCGTGTGTAGCGTCTGCTGGCGCTGTCTGCTGTGAAATTGTTGAGGCAGGTCCTGGCTGGAATACGCGAAAATAGGTACAGCCAACGAACTGCGCTCCAGACGACCCGACCGACGGGTGTCTCTGTGTTCCGGATCTGTGTGAGGATGTGGATGTGCTACCACCGAATGCCAAAGTCAGAGCCATCAGGAGCAAAAGCAAAAAGCCGAAAGCTGAAAGAAGCATGGAAAAACATGTGGAAGAGTGGCAGGCCAATGGGTGAAGACTGAGACCTGAAGGCTGGATGGAGCATCACAGTACATATGTATGCTGCAGCATGGGTCTCAGAGCTGGGAACTGCTTGCTGCTGCCTTTTGCCTTCTGCCTGCTTTCTGCTTGCTGCAAACTCCGAACAACAAGCCGTCCGTGGCAATGGCAACACACATACCGACCCGATGTAGCCAAAACACTCCACTCGATAGATACAGCCGCAGTCGCCGCTCTGCCGCCGCTCAGCCGAGCATAGTGGCATAGCTATAGCTTCAGGTTCAGCCTCAGTTTCGGTTCTGAGCTTCAGCTGCAGCAACGTTTCCTCACTATCCACCATCCACTGCCCACTATCCGTCCATATTCGCACATATATCGGCACTATACATGCATTATATATACCGGGGGGAGGGCCGTCTCCCTCCCGACTATACACACACTTTCGCGACTAACTATTTTTTCGTGTTTTTGGCCATGGCCAAGAGATGAATTGGTAATGCAATTCTGGCAGCTCTCTCGCTGGCTTTCCTTTGTTGCAAATTGAATCGAACTGCAGCGGGCGATCGGCTTACGTGGCCGGAGAGCCGAATCAGTGGGGGATTGTGGATAGAGGATTAGGCCAAGTCAAGTGGAATTGTTTCTGCAAGTGGGCCTACAGTCTGTAGAGGAAAGAGGAATAAACAATAGATGTAAATACCTGAAACCATGGTATCATTAAAGGATATTGGAGTATCTATTTAAGGGGAGGGTAAGGTCAAATCATGCGAAAAAAGCCATGTTTTTGTGATTTTTTTCCTGACGACACAGTTAAAATTTATTTATTCAACCAACGGTATATTAAAGTATGACATTAGAAGAATGTTTAATAAAATTTTTACAAAAAAATATTTAAAAATATGGCAATGGTAGCAGTTGTCCGGACGTGTCGCCAAAAAAAGTTGAATTGCGGTGCCCCTCATAACTCGGTGCTGGATCATTTGTAATCAAAAAATGAAAATTCATTCGTTAGATAATAGTTCGCCCCAGGTAACGCTGTAAAGGTTTTTTGAAAATTGCCATTTTTTAATTTTTTCGAAGACTTTGAAGTGAAAAACTCAATTTTTTGGGAAAAAATCGGTTAATTTGTCATTGCGAAATCAAAACTATGAACAAAAAAAAAAACTCGACAGCGTTACCTCGTAAAATATGTACAGAAATAGTGTTTAAAATTTCAAAAGGATCGGTGCAGTAGTTTTGAAGTTATGAGGGGCACCGACTTTGAAAACGTGAGTTGTGGGAATAACGCTTTAAAGTTTTAAACAAAACAAAATCCAGTGTAAAACGTTTGCAAGCAACTTCGTCAATAACTAATAACTTCGTCAATTTTGCTTTAATTGACTTGAAATTTTGACACAATATTCTTCAGATATTATGCATTCAATTTAAAAAATAAAAAAAAAATGGAAAAAAAAAAAATTTAATACCTTACCCTCCCCTTAAAAGAAAGTTCATGTTGACTAGAAAACTAATAAAATATTACTTCTTTTATTTCAGATTGCTGAATGAGGTCTATAGAGGTCTATATTGGCGAAATTCGTAAATATGTATTATTTTAAATCTTTTAAACTGTTGTTAAACTCTATCATTATTTGCAGATGACTCAGAGAGTCCTTGGATTCCCTGCAGGAATTTCACAACATTATCAAATGGGCCCTCCATCAAGGGGTTGCTGACTCTATTTCCCAACCGGAGACCATCCGGAGACCATCGCAGGACATTAAGGAGTTGTTATCCAACTCAAATGGTGCATACTTACATATGGACCATTAACAGAAACCCGTAAATCCGAACTTGTGCTGTTTTTTATCTGTTACAAGACCGGCATTATGGGAGTCTGTCAATGCAAACAACTGGTTTTTGGCAACAAAATCAAACGAATGTGTCATAATGCGAGACGACGCGGTCATAAATCAAATAATCCAACAAACTAAACAGATAAAGGATATAAACAGATATAGAAATCCTAGATAAACTTAAAAATTCCATTATAACTGAATAACTTTAATCGATTTCGAAACAATGCCCATTATGATTTCTTCCTTCTGACATTATTTTCGACATTATTTGATTTACCAAAAACCGACCCACTGAGTGCACCCAGAAACCCCATTCACGACCTAACTACCCAGCAAAAAGGACTACACCAAGGACCTTTTTCTCTCTGGCAAATTGAGGTAGTAGGTTGTATAGTAGCAACTAAGAATCGTACTATACAATGTGCTAGCTTTCTTTGCTTGACAATAAGCCGCATTTGATTTCAAATATCCCCCAATGGAGTTCTACATAAATATGTATGTGGAATCGAAGCCATACGAAAGTGGTGATGTGATATAGTATAGTTTATGCTGAAACTGAAATCGAGAAAAGTGCCTCCGAGTCCATGCTCCGACTCGATCGGGAGTCGGCATTCGCCAAGCAAATGCATCCGCCGGGCGCATGTAAATATTGGTATTGGTGACATGTGCAAATGTTTGTATGGCTGATTCCCTGAGACCCTAACTTGTGACTTTTAATACCAGTTTCACAAGTTTTGATCTCCGGTATTGGACGCAAACTTGCTGATGTTAATAAAAAAGATAAAGCAAACGAGAGCCAAGGGTCCACTGCAGTTGCCAGTAAGTAGAAAATTTATTCACGTGCTAAAGTCTTTACCAGTTATGAGAATTGCATTTATAAGTAATTCTTGCTTCTTTCGCAGAATGCTGTAGAATCGGATGCCGAACCCAGTAATACAAGCAACTCCTCACTAGGCTTTACATTATTTTATTATCAATAGTTAAGACTACACACTACTTCTAGTGATACAGATACAAATATGAGAAAGATGGGAAAGAAGAGCATGATCTGAACAATTTCATTGTCGAGAAAGTAAAAAATATATATACGGTTATCGTAGAATGGTTATGGTTCACTGATGCGTGCACTTGTTGTCCTTGGACTTCTTCTTACGATCTTCACTTGAATTTGATCGTCGAGTACCCTGAATCGGCATGTAAGGCGGCGTGGGACTGGCGCTCTGATCTGTTTTAAACAATTACGTCAATATATAGCGATGCAATATACGGAGGGCGTTAAATACATATATACCAAAATTTCCGGACTTGGAGTACTTCATGTGGGGCGCGATGTCCTGGCCGCTGTGATGGGAGCTGTCGTGGGAGCCGGCCTCGGAGCCGTAGTGCTCGGATCTGCGATGGAATATATTATATAATATAGTATAATATAAATGTATAACATAATAAAGTTAAAATTATATTTCTTGAGTTAGTAACTAACCGCGTCATGGAATTGTGGGCCTGCATTTGCTGCACTTGCTCCGCCGCCATGTGCAGGGACACGGGTCGTTGTCCTGGCCGGCAGTTGTCCACTGGCAGTGTGTATATGTCGTCCTCTCCCCTGGTGGATGGCAAGTTCATCTGCTGCTGCTGCTGCTGCCGTTGCATGGAACTGTGATTGGAGCCTCCGCTCTCTCTTGTGAGGCTGCCGTTCGTCAGGGTTCCGTTGTGGTGGCGCTGCTCGCGACTGTTATTGAGGACATCGATGGGATTCGAGTAGGCCTCTACGTCGATCTCGGGGTGGTTGCCATTGCTACCAGAGAGACAGTCCTGGGGCAGGGCAAGAAGGGGGCCGCAGTGCGAGTTGGTGCCGCAGAGCAGGCTCCCGTTTCCGTTTCCATTGGCGGCAGCTTCCTTCTGTTGGGATTTCCTCAGACGAGCCTTCTCCTTGGCGCGCTTGGCTTTGGCCTTCTCCTGGAAAGATTTTGTGATTAGCTTCAATGTAGTATATAAAAGAGTTTAGTCCTATCTTACCCTTTCCTGTAGCATCTTGGCCAGCTCCTTGTCCTGCGCTTCAATGGCCAGCATGCGATCCCTGTGCTCCTGCCGCACGCAGTCCTTGGACTCGATGGCTTGCAGACGCCGAGCCAGAAGCTGTTGATGAAACATGGGATTAGCTTGAGTTAAGGATTACTGGAGTATCCACCGACTCACCTCATCCTTCTGCTCCTGCTTGAGCTTCTTGCTCATCTCCTGGATTTCCTCCATTGGCAGACCGATCTCCCGCAGGCTGGCATAGTCGCAGGGATCCACGTACAGCTCGATGTCGTCCGCGTGCTGTTGCATGTGCCGCTCGGCCGCCTTGGCGGAGGCGCCCAGCCCGAAGTTCCCCACCAGCTGATCGTACTTTTCGGGCGACAGTTTCTGAAATTTGGGTTCGGTTCTTAGGAGATTCTCGTGAGACGGCGTGCGCTGCTTGTGGCTCTGCAGAGGTGTTGCAGCTGCATCGACAACACTAGCTGATGTTGCTGTCTCCCCGGCTGCGGGTGTCGCAGCTGTTATGTTGTAGTCGCGAATGCTGTCAGCAACATCGGCATAGTCCACGAGCTCGTCGATGTCAGCTGCCTGCGGAGTGGTCTGGGGAGTGGGTGGGTGCTGAGTTATGGATGAGGTGCTAGGTATGTTTGCTGAAGATGTTGTGGATGTTGCAGATGTTGCTGCCGGGGCATGGCGACGTGTCGGCGTGGATGGATGCTGCTGAGGTGCGTGATGAGAGCGCGAGTGATGTGGCTGCTGCTGCGGCAATGATAAGCTATCACTCACCAGCAGCTGGCCGTGTGTCTGTGCAGTTCTACTGGGAGAGGTGCATGCCGCAGCAATGGCGGTTGCCGCGTTCACCGAAGTGGTGGCTGGCATATCTACAATATTTGGTACGAGCGATAACCCTACATAGTTGTCTGTTTCTGAAAAGTGTGGATGTTGCTGCTGCTGGTATCTAGCCTGCTGCGATGTGCTCGGCTCTGGGTTCAGGCCGTTCAGTGTCAGGTGTTGTGGCTGTTGTTGTGTCTGATACTGCTGCTGGTGTATACTTGCTTTGGCGGGGCGGGGCGGCGGGCGGCTCTTGTCGCGGGTTGCAGGTGGCGGCACGGGCGGCAGGTTCACATAGATCTCCTGCAATCAGTTGAATGAGATGGGGATCGCTATGCAGTCCAAGGAACTCACCTGCATCTGCTTGGCTATCAGCTCGCTCTGTTGCAACTCCTTCTGCTGCTGCTCCTGCAGATCTCGCTCCAGCTTGTCGGCTATTTCTTTGGCTACTCGCTTGTCGTGCTCCTCCCTGCAGAGATCGGAAGATTAGTTTGAGATGGAAACAGGTTTGGGGGTACCTATGATAGTTACTGTTCTGTCAGTCGTCTCCGGTAGGCCTCCACCCTGCGCTGGGCCTGCTCCTTCTCCTTGATCTGCTCGTGCAGGGCTGTGGGAAAGTCCTCCCGGACCACCGCATTCCTGTACCGATTCCCCTTGTAGAAGTCGTTAACTGCGAGGAATGATGTTATGTAGCATACATGTATTTGGCAAAAGGGACTCTACTTACTCTCTTGGGACTGCAGCTTGTAGGCCAGGGCGCCGTCCTCCCGCACGAGCCATTCCTTGCAAACTGCAATAAGGAAACGAACAAAATTCTGCTGTGAGTGGCTCGAATCACCTCTCTTATGGCTCTTAATGACAGTACAGGTATCTAATGTCGCTGCCCGATCCGATTACCACTAAAATCTCTAATGAAGCCCCCCAAGATCGTAAAATCTGTTGCTCCACTTGACGGTCCCCTCCCCTGGTAATACGATGAGTCACATTCGGCCCTGCATGGAAAACGGGTTCAAAACAAAGGAATTCCATTGAAGTTGTAATCCCCTTGGATGGGGCCCCTAGTCTGCGTAGTCCGGACACTTTGATCGATTTAACCAACCGGAGAGAGCGATCGCAGCTCATTGATAAGCGAAAGCGTGGTGGAAACTTGCCACTAATTGTGTGCGTAGAACTTGCATCGTTTGGGGTTCGTTTCGGGTTATTTATGGGTCTTTGATGTCTGTTTTGTCAGCTTGATTTTTGTCAAATACACTGGGAAAAAGAAGCCATGGGGCATACGAGATAATATCTGAGTACATCTAAGACCTTGAGAGTATAACCCAACCTATACTTTACTTATAAATAAAACTTGTTTCTTTCTGTGTACATATAGAGGATCTACGCAATTGAAAATGTCTGGCTGTCTGTGTTCTGTTCGGCCAGCGAGTTGCTGTCATTTATCATTTCATTTCACCAAGTTGGGGCAGCAAGTTGGGGGAAACACAACTCTCAGTCTCGGTCCCAGTCTCTGGAAAGGGGAAAGTGGTTTTTGCTTGTTTCATGAAGTACATCTTGTTATCGGATTGATAATCGGTATCTAGTTAGATACACAAACTTGATTGAAAATGACTGCAGAAATAGATAAGATAAGAGATGTCTTCTGCTAATCTATTTCTAATTACTAACCATTTTACCTTTGTATGAGAAACTCCTCAGTTATCTCGATTTGTCACCTTTGTCCCCCTGACTTCCCACACTCGAACCTCCATTAAGTTCCTTCCAGAACGCCTATTAACATAATTTTCTTATCTCCCTGCACGTATCTCGCATAAAGGCTCTTTGACTTCCAACTGTCAACTGGCAATTACTTGAACTCCGACCCTAGATTTCCTCGCCAGCGAGCACTTGTAATTAGAACTCTCCGACTGGGAATGAATTATGGGTCAGGCCTTGGGAGCAACAACCTCCCACCACCCGCCCCATCCCCAGCCCCAGCTCCCTCTGGTTAATGCGTTTAGTGGCGATTTCACTCAATTAACTGCAATTTGAAGCAAAAACAGAGGGTCCTCACTCCGGCGGACTTAATCAATTTAGTTGTTTGATTTCTGACTGCCCATACCCTCTGTGTATCTGCATCTGCAGTGGTAAGCTTGTAGCTAAGAGGATTTTTATATGCAGGGGCATGGCTGGCTTGGCTGCCAAGAGTGCGCTTTGTGCCGCGGCATAAACTGAAACACAAAGTATTTTTGCAAACTCGCACTTTACTTGGCTGGGTCCGCCGAGTGGTTCGGCCTGATTGCTCGGCTCAGGTTGCTTGCTGCTTGCCCCACCCCCTCTCCACTTCCCCTCCTGCCCTCTCAACTGGATCAAACCACTCCCCTGGCATATGCAACCCTATGTTTATACCCTAGAGGTGTGCGGTAATACAAGCCTCTGGCTCGCAATCAGCTGGAACTATTTTTAAAGCATTTGCGAGTATCAGATGGAGGTACTTACTCCCTCTTAAGTAACTTAAGAATCCTGAAAATATGTCTTATATTCTGGGAAATATCGGAGTTCAAGCTACCTAGTTTTAGTCTGATTATACAAGAGTATTTGAATCTTCGGCTACCTTACAGAGTATCTCTGTTTCTTGCTGTTCTGTGCTTTCAGCATATTACTTACAAAGTCTCGAATAAGTGTCAGTTTGTGTACATACTCATATGATTCTGTTCTTATGGCTTTCAGTTTTTTTTTCTCCATAATACCTCGCCGAGCGGGGCTTTTTATTATGCACACCAGGCATTCCGGCAACGGGCAAAATACAAAAAAAAACAAATTATACAGCAAAAATTAAAAAAAAATGAGAAAAACGAAACAAAGAAACCTGTGTGGAAATTAACTTACTGTACTCCATACGCTGCCGTTAAATAATGTTCCATTTGGTGGCATAGGAATTGGCCGAGGCAGTAAAAACTGTGCAGCAATACGTCTAGGAAAATTATGGCCAGTGTCACTCGAAATTGGTAATTCAAATTCGCCTGCCAGACAATTTTGAAATTCTTTCGATTTCCTGTTCATTGAGAAGTCTGTCCACGGACAGAGTGACAGCTGATTTATTGTTGTTGCCCATTTGGGGGCAGAAGTGAAATATTCAGCTGGCCCTGGAACGGGTTTGTTTTTGGCCAAAAAAGAACTGTTAACCTTTGCAACAAAGCAGGGTGACTGGTGCAATATGTGGGTCAGAAAAGCATTTTATCGACTTGACCAAAACCCACAAAAAGCAGAACGATCGGAGAACGGGTTAGTAAGTCGGGCATGATGCATGATTCATTGGACTTTGAGGTCCGAATTCTTTCGAATTCTGCCAGCGGGTGGCCAGGGCAGGTGTCGGGGGAGGGGCCGAAATTCTCGAAAGAAAGCAGCTGAGCTAAGGTTGATTGAGTTGCTTGTGTTTGTTTACCATACTCAGGCCTCATTCAGACCTTAGCCCAGTAAGTATTTCCAGAGAAAGACTGCCATGGAAGGAATTCAATTTGGCGAAAACAAACCTCTGGAAATCTACCTGCCAGTCTCAATTAACCTTGCAGCAGTCGGTTTACAGTTCACAGCTCTTGCCACAGCCAACCAGCCAACAGGTCTGCACTTAGAGGGCTTCCCCACCTTACTTTCTTCGTCCCCTGGGGGGGCTTTTCCCATTTCCCCGATGCACTGCCTCTGATTTGCCAAGTTCAGTTCGTCAGTTGGATGACCACGCTTGAATGGCAACGGCTCCCCGATCGCGTGAAGAGTTACATAACCCCAATGAATGGTAATGGGTATACTCACACCCATACTCAAAACCATATCCAGCTACTTATGCATAATAATCAAACGCTAAACAAGTGTGGAAAGCCAAAATTAGAAAGCAGTTTGACGGGAAAATTTATGAGAGAGCCGCCACAAAAATCCAAAAATCCAGGAAAATATGTTGTGACTCTTGACGACTTGCAACAGCCACAACTGCTGCTGATGCTCCTGCTGCCACTGCCGATGGGGCAGCCACGGAGAGAAGAAGACGCGGCGCCGAAAGTGGAAAAACCTGACTCAAGGTTGTTGAACATGCCACTGCCACTGCCACCGAACGAGAAATGCGGGCCGCAATGCCGACTATTTGAATGTTGCATCTGACAGATACAGAGACAAAGGCAGCGGGTGCGCGAGTGTGGGAGCGTGTATGTGAGTATATTTAGCCTGCCTTACATTGACCTTAGCCAGGCCAAGCTGCAACAACATTATACGGAGGTATACCTCCTCATCGGAGACGTATTTCATTCAAATGAAGTGGCGAGTTCGGGCTCACATTTCATTGATTGATGGAGCTGCTCATGCATTCGTTATGGCCAAAAATTAGCTTCATTTCGGTTTCATGCTACGATACTTATGAATCGAGACAGGCAAGCTTTCTCTGAGGAAGTCAGGCCATTAAGATGATTGTAGTTTTTTGTAGATGCATTAAAAGCAGGTTGAAACTGTCTTTATGGTTGTCAAATATGAAATATATTTCTTAGTTTATTTACTCCATCTAGCTCTCCATTAAATCCCTGCCCCCAGCACTCTTCATGTTGCATAAATTCATTTGCACTTGCACTGAAATCTTCACTTATTTTTAGAATTGCATTTACAAAACAGGGCCCTCCAGACGGTAGATGGGATTCATTATTTGGGCATCTTGAGAGTCGTTTTTTGTAGGCCACCGCCAGTCACCGCCATGACAAAGCGTCCAGGCCCGGAGGTGGGGGGCTCCTTTAAGTGCTATCCCCATAGAAATGCCGGAGGAGACCTCTTTCCCGGCACTTGCACATCCTGTCGTCGTGGCAAGTGAATCATTCCTGGCTTGCGAAAAAAAAATGCAAGAAATAAACTGCATTCAGGCGGCTCGTCATGCAACTGCTGCTGTTTCTGTTTCTGCCCCATGTCCTCCTACCCTGACACCCCCGGGCACAGCCCCCAAGAACCCCTCCACTTGTCGGGCAAAAAGAGGCCAGCAGTCGAGTGAGTTGGAGTCGAGGAGAGTTGGGGGCCCGGCCTGGCTTTCTGGGGGTCTTTTGTCATGCGTGCTTGGGCGCAAATGAAGCGGTTGCTAAATCCCCTTTCTGAAACCGTCAGCTGCTGCTGCTGCACGCGCTGTATCTTCAAGATACAAATGCTAGGCCGCAGCCTTTTTGCATGTCTGCACAGAAAGAAAACATGAGTAACAAGAGCTCTAAACTTAGTCTAGAAAGATAGGTACTCCGGTACTCCAGGTCTCCAGGTACTACTTCAAAATATTGGAATATCTTATGATATTAAATTTCAAGATATACATAGTTTTCTGTATTTTTCTCAGTGCAATCATTAAATGGAAAGTGCTGGCTATAATAATTTTTTGCACCTCCAAAGAAAAGAAGAAAATGTAGTGAACGTTTTCCCTTTCGGTTGAGGGGATCGCTCGACTTCCCCCTCAAAGTCCCCACCGAATGCAAACTATATAGCGCTGGAGTTTGTTTATTTTTCGACTGAAATTTCTTTCGGTCGGTCGTTGGTCTTCTGCTCTATGTGGAATACGCTATGGAGCTGCCTCAGCTGCTGACTGGCAGTCTTTGTTTTGTTTATCGTCTCACGAAGACTTTCAAAACCAAATTCGAGTCGGAAGCCCCGGGGCCCCGGGAAAAAAACTCGCCAACTTCTGGCGATTGTGACGGCGGGTCGGTCGAGAAAGTTTCCAGCTCGTGTCTTCTGGGGAAGACTGGTGTTTATTTTTCTTCATTTGGGCAATCTTTTTCATTAGCATAACAGCGAACTGTGTCGCGGGGCGGTTTGCACAACAATGTCTTTGTCATCGAGCGCTTATATTCGGATTTCAATTAATTGGACCTATTCAATGATATTTTTGGTGTTGCAACATGTCTCCATCAGACACATTATTTATGCAAATTTTTCAGGTCTTATATAAGGTTACTTCATTGGCGATAATATGCGAGAAACGTGTTTGTTTACAAATGACTCAACACACACTTTTCCAACTTTTGAGACGACACTCGAGCAGTTCTAGGAACTTGATGTTTGTTTTGGACGATAAATCAAAGATATAGCCCGATCGGCGGAATAAAAGGGCAAAGGAAACGTTAGATATCCCTGAATATAAGGGAGATAAATTCTTTAAAGTAATGCACCACTTTTTAAAAAAACATCAAACTGGTTTGATATTCTTGGAAACAAAAGACTCTTAAAAGAAAAGATCAAATTAGGAGCTTCAGGAAATTCCAGAGCCTCCAAAATTGTGAACCTCTGGAAGGTATGTAAGTGGCAGTTCTAACCGACTGAAACTAATCACTTCTATCTGGCCTCCATGAGGCATGATACTCTCGAACCCAATCAATTTCCAATTATCCGAATACCCGTACCAAATTGTTCATGTTCAACCAATTTGGAGTTTGGAATCGGGTTGGCTGGGTCTTAGGCCGCTTACCCTCATTAACATGTCCTGATCGGGGCAGGGACTCCTTTGTGGCTGGCGGTGGTGCGGCGGCTGTTGTGGTTGTGAAATTATTCATCTTTCTCCGCTCCTCCGGCCCTCTCTCGCCGCGATACTGTGTCTCGAATATTAATTAAACAACGCGAATTGTTCTCTCAGAGGTTCTCGGCTCAAGAACAGGTGTTTAAATCACGGGCTCAAGGACGCTCCCAGTTGTTTTTGTCAAGCCGCGCCACTCCTTCCACTCCAGTGGTTTTTGTTTTGGCCTTACTTGTTGAAGCGCTCGCACCGCCGAGATACAGATACAGAGATACTGCGGGCGTGAGCTCAATTAATGAATGGACTTCAAAACGATTTTCATTTAATTGCGTCGCTCTTGAGGCCTGGCCGCTATTTCACTTTCACACTGGCACACGAGAATAATTGTTATAATTCCACAATTTCCATCGGCAACACGCGCGCAACGACAGCTGCAATATGCAATTCAATTTGTATCCGCAAGATACATGCCTCGACCCCGGGCGGGCACTCAATCGAACCGAACTGGCGGCGGCTCCTCAGTCGACAGCGAACGGATGGCTGGATGTTGAGTGGCTTGGCTATCCGGCGACTAGAAACAACAATAACACTGCAGCCTGGAACTGAAACGAGATACAAAAATATCTGAGCGCATACTGCAGTGAGAGAGCGACTGGAAGGGCTGGAAGCAGAAAAGTGCTGCCAAGTTTTGGAAATATTTTTAAATTTGATTTTTTTATAAATATATCTGTTTTTAGGTGCATGTATCCATATTATTAGATTATTTTAAGTACTCGCAACACTCTGTGATATTTAATATTTATAAATATGTGCTTTCTTTAAATGAATTTATGATTTTTATTGGGGTTTAGCAAAGACACAAACCTTAGCGAAGTCGTCCACCTTTTCAAATTCCATTCTCAAAACGGGTTTTTGCGCCAACAGCATTAACACAACAAAAAATGATATTAAGTAAAAACAACAATATTTTAGCTTGTTAGAGAGGCTCTTTACATTGTTATTATTATTTTTTTGCTAGATGACATCAAGTGTTTATTTTTATAATTTACACTTTTCGGTTTCCGGTGGCAGTAAATACCATTTTGTCAGGAATTTATTGATCGAACCCATAAATATGGACGTTATATTCTGATTATTTAGTTATTTCTGAATAAAATATGAACGTGCCTTTTTGTAAACGTGAGTGTAATAGAGTATTTTTATTTTTAACGACCAAGTGCCTGTTAAGGCGAGTTGTTATCTGGTTGAGCCGTAAACAAATAAGTGCAGATCTTGAGTTTCCTATCACACTAATGTAAACAAACATCCCAGGCCGAGCAGAATTCAATATTTATTTGCCCAGCTCCCGACGACGATCTTCACCTCCATTATTAGTCCAAACTCTGTCGGGAAGGCAACTCAAGCCGGGTTCAAAGTGTGCGACTCGGCCCAAGTGGACTATTTCGACTCAAAGCACCGAGTGCCCATATCTGAGAGATACAGGCCCTATCTGCTACCTGCCTAGCATAGATATAGAGATACATTCGCATCCACGATCGACGTGAAAAAAGGTAAACAAAAGTCAAGTCAATGAGCAAAACATTAGTATTTGTATCTGTGTGAGCTCTTTGGCGCACCTGTGTGGGTGTGGAGTGACTGTTGGTAACAGTTCGGCGAGCGATCGAGGCGTTTCAGTCAGTAACGAGTTGAAAGTTGCCAAAACACGTCGGAAGTCGCACGTCAACAGTGAACGGAAGTGCCTAAATCCAATTTTTGTTTCAAAATTGTTATCAAACAAGATAGTATTTGATGGAATAAATACTTGAATGAATAAATCAGTGACTATGTTTTTAAAGCTAGAGGAAAGTTAACTAAAAAAGCCAGTGAAACTTGGCCAAGACAAACCCGTTTGCACAAACACACACAACCACAGCCAGCTCAGACTCCAGAAGCGAAACAATTAAAAAAAGAAGTTAGTCAGTCAGCGTCGGTGCGTTATGGCTGGATGAATCATACCTCGGATTGGTTACAGAAATCGCAACAAAATATACATTGCACCTCTGGAATATATATAGCAATAGTGGGGCCCCTAGTGGTTATGTAAAAACCTCACTGAGCCGTAGCGAAAATAGTCAAAGCCCCGAACATTCCAGCCAACGCACCTCACATGTCCAGCAAGGAAATGCGTCCACTGTCGCTCTCCATCGGGGCCTCCCTGCTGCCCAGCTTCTCCCTGGTCACGGCGGCGAATGATGGCAGCAAGGACTGCCACGGGAAGGTCTGCCATCCGGTGGACGAGTACTGCTCCGCCTTCGCGGAGTCCTGCGAGCCCTGCGCCCCCATCTGCGACAATACCTCCCACAACTACCAGGCAGCTATGTGCGCCAAGGAATGTTCAGGTGAGTTCTGATTACCTCACCTCTTAACTGGTTTTGAGGGCTGCTTGGGTTTTCCATCAGGCATCAATTGTATTGTAATTGCTATGGACTTACTTATGGGGGTTAGCTCATCCCGGAACAAGTGCCTAATAACTTTGAGATTCGCCAATCATATGCATAGGTATTTATTGTTACTATCAAGTGAACAAATATCTTGCTCAATTGTTTGGGTTAGCTTAACTAGTCGGAGTACTGCATTTTATGAATCCATTACAGTACCCGGGGAGAGCTTATCTCCCTAGCCGACCACTGCAATAAAGCAGATAGACCTAGTCAATATTTACACCTTACTTTGCGGATCTGCAACTGCAAAACGGGGAAAAGGAAACTAGTCTTAGGAGTGATATCTTAATATTTCTAATATTCGTTCTATCCTCAGCCTTTAACAGATTCGAGCCTCTAAAGGCGGAGATACACAACATCCAGAGCAACCAACAGCTGATCCTCCTGCTCCTGATCATACTGCTTGTCCTGATCGTCTTTAGGTACGCCTTCCAGGGCATCCGCTGGCTGCTGCATAAGAGGTGCATCCAGCGGATGCTTCAGAGGATGCAGTCCAAGGCCTACCCCCCGCCGACCGCTAATGGCAAGGACCTCAATGCCACCACCATTCAGAACCTGAACGCCATCAATCGGCACGGCAGCGACATTGAGCGGGCGCCGTCCCAGATCTACAGCGTGGCAGGTAAGTGTAAGGATCTACCTGAATGGACTTCCGCGAATCCCGCTGACTGCTCGACTTTATTTTTGCAGGTGCCGCCGAGGGCTCAGTGCTCACAATGACGACGCCGGTGAGCACCCGCTATCCGGCGGAGAACAGCACCACGCCCACCACCGTGGTGACGGAGATTGGCTACGGGTACGATAACCAGGCCATGGTCGTGACCCCGGTTTCCGAGAAGCCCACATCCATCCCAGCGGCTGCTTTCTAACGCCATATAAAGAACCCTGAAGGACTTATTCATCTTCAATTGAGTCCAGCGACAGGAAAATGTACACCACATTAAAAATAGTGATATCATTGTAGGATGGATACTTATGTAAGCAAACAGATTATAATTAGGAGCCTAAAATTGACTTAAACGTAAGGAAACTATCCCCAACTATTTGGAAACAAATCCATTTAAACTCCGAGCTGTACCTTTACTTTGAGCTCAAACTATTTTTTTATAAAAAAAGATATTTATCTAAATGTTATGGGGGAAACTTCTACATCACTAGGATCTAAATAATACATAGTCCTTGTATATTTTCATTTCCAACTGCAGCCTTAAATACTTAACTAAGTACAAACTGTATCTACAATACTTCATAAAGTATGTCATAAAGTATGTACATAAGTTAGAAATAAAATAATTGAATCTTAAAATAAGATTTTTTAAGGATTGCGGAAAATGATACTTAACAGAATTTAAGAAGATGATAAGTTTGGAAATCTTCTTGAAAAATATGTTTGAAAATTGCGCGCTCCTATCGATCGATAACGATAGTGGTGAGTTTCCATTACTAGTTCACTAGTGGTTCTGAAACTTGATATTTTGGTGGGTTTCTTTTGAATTCGATTCCCGTGCAAAAACCAATCAATAAAACAACGAAATTTGTACTTAAATATATTGTCATTTATTTTAATAAGTATTCCACGTTGGCAAACACAATACTAAGTCTAAGTTAAGTTGGCTTTTTGAGTATAACTCCTGTATTTATCCTAAGATGTAAATCGTTTCTATATGACACGCCAGATATGTTTTATAAGATTTGTTTTTAAAATGCTTCCTTAATCTTACGAATCTCATAAATCAGCCTTAAACATAAGCTTAAACTTAAATAAATAAGCTAAGACTAATTCCGATCCAATTTGAACCACTTTAGCTTTTCAATTTAACGGAGGAACTCCCATAACTTTTGTCAGATTTAAAATTAGAAAGTTCTTTGATCCCTTACACCCAATACTGATTCCGCCGCAGCAGAGGATTGGTGGGCGGGGCCGAGGGCGGCGAGCTGACAGATCCCGAAATACTCTGCGGCACGGAGGCGTAGCCAGCAAAGTCGTTCGCCATGTCGCAGGAGGAGCTCCAGGCGTCGTGCTCCATGAGGTACGGATTGTACCTCTGGGGCAGCATCATCTGCTGCGGATCGCACTGGTCGTCCGTCTCCTCCTCGTCCGGGTCGTAGTCGGGGAACTCGTGCTTGTACGACTCCACGGGTATGATCTTGCAGTGCGGGATGTTGCTGAACCCGGGGAGGGGTGTGGAGTTTCCGGTGGGTGGTACAGAGTCTGCCTCGGAGCTGGCGTAGTGGTGGCTGTGGTGGTGGTGGTGCATATGGTGCTGGGGACTCACCGAAGTCAAGTCCGGCGGGCAGGGCAGTGCCGGCGGCTGATCCTTGGAAATGTCCGCCTTGTGCTTCCGCAACTTCCTAAACTTCAAAACGAGCAGGACTATAAGAAGGAAAATCAGCAGAATCGCAAAGGCGCAGCCGATGGCCAGATAGTTGATGGAGAGCCCGGCGTTGCCCAAGTGAACCGTCTCCGTTTCCTCCGAGCGGCTTCTGTACTCAATGGAGACAGTGGCCTGGGCGGGCTGAACGGTTTTTATGAGAAGCTGGTAATCGAAACTATCGACATCCTCCTCCGTGTCTTCTGGGGACTTGTGGGGCACAAAGTAGACCACTCCACTGCGCAGCTCCTTGTAGGAGAATATGTTGGTGGACCGCTCGTTGGGGCCATCGACCGCCAATCCCGTGCTCCGGATTATCTTTCTGATCTGCCCAGTGGCAGGCATCCTGGTGACTACGAATTTCGGGTTGAATTTGTTCAGCTTCAGGGACAGAGGATTGTCGGTGTCCAGGGAGGTGGTGAGCCTTATCCTACCTCCTGCAGAGTCAGCCTCCTTCATGTGTATGCTGTTGATTTGGATAACCGGCTCCACCTCCATGACGATGTCGACTTGGGCGGCGTAGTTGGTGCCCGGGACGTACGCACTCACTTGGAAAGTGTCGTTGGATCGATTCTGGTCCGTCTGCATGAAGCTAATCTGGCCGGATTCCAGCTGCTGTTGGGTGAATCTCAGAGTGGGCTGATTGTTGAACACCATAATGCCGTAGATCGGCGAGTTGGTGACATTGTACGACAGCCTTTCCACCTGTACATTCGTGGTGAGGCCAATGTGCTCTAGCCTCATGGGGGCAGTCGTGGCGCCCTGCTGTATCTTTACGGGAACTTGAGAGGCTGAAGGTAGCAGGCTGATGGGGGCGATTTTAATGGTGAATATCTCGTAGGCCGCGTTAGCCTGTCCGTCCGATACAGTGAAGCAGAATGTGGTGGATTGTGGATTGCCAAAGTGAACGTACACGATGCGGTCGTTGTTTATGTCCGCCTGGGTGAACTGGTTGGAGAAAGCAAGCAGCTCCTCGGCCTGGCCGTCGTTTTTCATCTTCTTGAGGACGCCCAGAGTCGGGCCACTCATCACATCGTAAATGATCTCCTCCGGCGGGGTGTCAGCGTCCTCGGTGAGCAAATCGTTGCGTGTAATGGTGCGGTTCTCGCCCTCGACAACAGTCATCTGGGGCAGGTGGGTTATCAGACGGAAGGGTTGATCGTTGATGGGGTTGATCGAGACGGGAATCGTCAAATTGCAGAGGAAGATGTTCCTGAAAAGTGGTTAGAAAGTTATACAAACAGTAGGTGTTTGGTTAGGCGCCGAAACTCACCCCTGCGTCAGGTAGACCGACATGAGAATGGTATCCTCCAGGGTGTCCGAGTGGTCGTGTATGTAGTAGACCTTCTTGGTGAAAAAATCACTTGAGTGATAACGCTGGACGCCCTTAAAATCGGGAACTAATCCTATGCTACCATGTGTGGGTTTTTGCACCGGCTCGATAAACAATTCGGGGTTACTTATGCCCGCCTTGGTTTTAAGGTAGTCCAGGATCTTGGAGAAATCCAATACGATCGGCACAGAGCCACCTTCATCCACCGTGATCTTGTTCACCGGCAGGAAGCGCAGCAACCCTCCCGAGGAAACCGATATTTCGATGTTGAACTTTTGGTCCAGCAGACGATCACTTCGCTCGGCCACCACATCGAAGTAGAAGGAGTCGTTTATGCGGAACTCCATTATGACGGCGGTGTGCTCGTAGAATATGTACCCGTTGTCCACATCGGACTGTGTGAACTCGCTGACTTCCCGGTTGAACCCATTGTCCAGAAACTCGTTCACTATCCGTCCCAGACTGGGGGGCACAGTGATGTTGTATCGTATCTCCCGCTCCTCGTCGGAGCACTTGAAGTGCAAATGGTCGCGCAGGATCTGCTTCTTCGTCAGGGGGAAAACATGCAGGTTCTCGTTGCGCTCGCCCAGGATTTCGATGGGCTTGATTTCGATGTTGAGCATCTGGGTGGTGGTGTTGAAGAGGCCGTCGGTGACCACGAAAGAGAGTTCGTTTCTGCGGGAATTCGAATCGTGCATGAAGTATATCTGTTCGGTGTTTATTTGCGCCTGGGTAAACTGCTCTATCTTGCGCTGAGGTGCGGACTTCTGGGCCAAGTAGCCGCCATAGATGTGATGCACCACGTAGGTGAGATTCTCCGGAGAAGTGTCGTAGTCTTGGGCCACTAAAAGATATAAAATGTTACTCATTACATACATTAAGAGAGCTCCAGGCAACTTACACAAGTCCGTATTCTTGATGACGTATCGCCCGCCGTTCCACACCTGCAGACCCGTATTGGTGACCATCATTGGCTCCTCATCGTTGACGGGAATCACCGAGAACTCCAGCTCAAAGGGCACACTCTCCTTATTCCTGGCCATGGCCACCAGAGTGATGGTGTCCGTAGCATTCTCGCTGCCATTGTGGACGTACTGAATGCTGCCCTGTTCCAGCTGCTTTTGGGTGAATCTCTTAACTTTGGAGTTCCCGGCCTGAATGTGTCCAGATGTGGATGCAATCGTCACTATGTACTCCAGTATCTTGCCCCGATAGTACTCCGAATAGGGTTGCATGTCCGTGGAACTGAGCTGCACAGTCTTCCCCTCGACCACGGACACAATATTTGAGTGCATGTACAGCTTTTCGGGAATGATCACGATCTTCAGGGTCAACTGTCTCAGCCAGGTGATCCCGTTTGTGACATCGAACACAAAGTAATCCGTGGATTGGTTCACGCCTGCCTGGATGTAGAATAGCTTCTCGGTGTTCACGGAGGCCTGATCAAACACCTTGCAGTTGTACTCGTCATCGAAGGTCGTGGACTGCATTTCCAGGTAGCCGTTTATGGGTGAAGAGGTCACCAGGAAGTTAATGTCGCCCGGGGAAATATTGGGATGGACCACCTCTAAGACATCCCTGGAGATGAGCACACTGGTGGACTCCTCCACGTAGAGTGTGTGATTCTGCTTGACCTGCAGGGGCTCCCAGTAAGCGGAGGGATATATCCTGAACATGACCTCTCCCTCGGCTGTTATGTTCTTGATATGTACGCGATACCTGGAAGGAGAGGACTCATGTTGTCTTAATTTCCCTTGTGTGGGGTTACCAACTCACCTGACTTTGTCCATCGAAGCGATTTCCGTGTTCCAGTAAACCAGTCGCTCCCTTTCGATGTCCAGATGCGTAAAGTTGCTCAGGGAGGTGTAATTGGTGGCCTTGTAGATCGTGGTACCGTTCTCGCCCTCGTTCGCGCTGCTCAGGTACATGAGAATGCCGTACGACGGAGGCTTTATCACCTCGTAGTATATCTCGTCTAGTTTCATGTCCAAGTTAGTCTCTAGAATGAAGTCCGTGTTCTTGAGGACCACAAACTTTCCCTCCTGCACGATGGAGGCATTGGTGCCCAACATGGACACAAAGGGATCCGAGGCCCGGATCTCCAGCAAGCCGCTGACCTCGTGCTTCCGATCGGTGACTATAAACGAGGCTGCTCCCGAGTCCGGCCCAGTGTGCTGGAACATTATCCTCCTGTTGGCAATGTCGTCCTGGGTGAAGCTGTTGATGTAGACGCCAGACTTGTAGAAAGCCCCATTCGTACTGGATATATGGATGTAGTGGATGTCCGTCTGATTGGTGTTGACGTCCGCGTCGAGGTACTGAAGCACTACGGGATTGAGGGTCCTTATGCCGTTTCGCACCACATGGAACACCCGCTCCATGGCCGTGCGGTAGGGTTCGTTGTCGTTTACCAACTTGATGTGCACGTCCATATTGGAGACGAACTGCAAGTCGGTCTCATCGCCGGAAAGCACCAGCAATTCAAAGTGGTCCCTGGTGGACTCGGTGTCGTCGTGGCAATAGTACATGTCGTTGCGGAACAGCTGCTCCAAAGAAAACATTTCTACAGGCGTGGTCAGTCCCGTTTGCTCATCATACTTGCAGACCACACCGTGCTCCGGAGCCGCAGAGACCTGGAACTGGAGGCTCTCGTAGATGTTGAACCGGATAGGAAAGTGGTTCTTGGTTATCAGAGCGCGTTCGCCCTCTTGCACCCGCAGAACCTCCTGGCTCTGGTAGCCCAGCTTACTGATAAGCTCTTCGGGGGGCCGGTAATTGATCTCCAGCACTCCCGTCACATCGTCGCACTCCGCCACGGAAACTACGAACTCCAATCGATCGCTGAAGCTAGAGTAGCTGGTGTGGTGCGTCTGGTAGCGGATGCGCCGCTTTTCGATGTCCTGTTGGGTGAAGGAGTCCAGCTGCTTCGCCGCCTTCCGGGATCCTTCCACGTAGATTCCCCCGTAGCGAGTGGGCCTCGTTATCTTATAGATCACGCTGCGCGGAAAGCTCCCGATGGGCGTGGTCTCATATGAGAGCACCTCGCTGGTCAGCAGGATCTCCCGGCCCCCATTGATGGTTATCTGGCCGGGACGGGTGCTCGTTATGCGCAGGCGCGTAAACGTGATGCGGAAGTCGAACGTTTGCGTGGTTACAAACCCAAACGAGGCAATAAACTGCGAAAGTGAAATCGAAATCAAGGTAAATTTATGAGCTACACTGGACTGCAAAATGCAAAGTAAGAGCTTTTCATTCAAATTTCGCTCCTTCCTTCAAATCGGAGTTTCAAACAGGTCTTAAAGAGTCTATTTCGTAACATTTGGAACCTAAAGACACAAATAATTAGGTTCGAAAGTCCACCATTTTAGCAGAAGGGGTCCATTTTCTAAGCTTTTCAAAATTTTCAAAACTTCTCTTGATCTAGATTCTAGTAGTATCATCTCCAAGCAAAAAACAAGTTAACAATAGAATCGGTCCTGAGTAACAAAAGGTTTTTAACTCCTTAAATAAACGAATACCATCACAAACACAATATGGAGGACCCTCTTACTAAGTGGCCACCACTAGTACAGCACATAATTGCAGCTCAGGATCACAACAAATCAAAAACATTATTTTTAAAATAATACTCCGGTACACCCACTTAAGGTGTGTGTGTCTATATTAGTGGAAGGAGTCCCAGACTGCAAATCGTAGTATCCTAGTAATACCGAATTCCGATTTAAAACGTTCTCTTCCTGTTCTTCTTTTGAATTTAATCATAAAAGGTATCCGTTGTATTTATAAAATTCAGAAAGAAAGATGTAAGATTTTAACAAATAATGGTTACTTATAAACATTTTGAAGATCCTCAAAACTTGCCAACTAGTGTTGGCTCCCTGCCCAGTTATGAACCAACTTAAGGTTGGTTTTTAGTTTGTTTTGTAGTCTTTTACGATACACACCTTGAATTCATCTTGCCAAGGGAAATCGCTGCTGTGCAGATAGCGAATGTGGCCGAGGAGCAGCTGGCTATCGCTGAACCAGTCCACGTTCACCCAGGAGCCATCGATCTGGCGCAGTCTTTGGAGAACTCCATGCTGCGGGGCCTTTACAACGTCGTACCTGATGTCGATGTGCTCGTCCACCGCATTTGTGCCTATGGACAGGTTTGCTGGACTCAGCAACAGGGAGCTCTTGTGGATCATGATCAGCCCGGTGTTGTTCACCAGCCGCAGCTCCAGGGGATGCACTGAAACCGGCAGGTAGACGGTCTCACTCGTCTCAATGCCGTCCGAAACTTGTATCTGTATCTGATAGCTGAAGGACTCTGCGGTGGTGGAGTTGTAAAGATAAGAAACTTTTCCTAGATTAACCTCGGCTTGGGAGAAGGTGGAGGTGGCTCCTCCGCCAACCATAAAACAGCCATATTTCTCTTGTGGACTCGGAGGAGACAATATTGTGTATATCAAATTGGCCGGCTCGCTGTCCGGATCATCAATGTTGAAAAGGTCCACGTCCAGAACCCTTTCTATGCCCTCGATTACCCTCAGGATTTTATGCGAGTGCAGTTTCAACTGAGGAGGGTCGTTAACGGGTGTCATATTCGCGTGTAGCAGGAACCGATGCTTGCCCAAAATGTTCCCTGGTATCTTGTGCACATCTCCAAAGACTTGCATATCCAGTGTGGCATGGTCGTTAAAGTTTTCTTGACCGTTGTGGACATACTTCAGTTTATCGGTCGCCAAATCAACCAAGCTGAAGGTTCGACAAGGCACGAAGTTGGATTTTTCAGGAGAGTACTGCAGAAGCTGCCCGTATTTCGGCTGATGGACAACGTTGAAAACAATGGATTGTTCGCTCAGACTAGGATAGCGACGCAGATCGAGGATTACGTCTATGAAACTGGGGGACAGGAAAGCCGTTCCCCCTTCCAGAAGCTGCATGGGCGACACATAGAGCAGTTCCAGTTCGGGGCTGGTTTCGGTGAAGATCTGTAATTAAAGAAAGCGAATATATTAATTCTTAAGCTGTTCGTCTAATCTCCGTGTAAAGCATTAATACCCACCTTAAAAGGCCCCTGAAAATCGGCTTTGATGCAGTAGGACTGGTCGCAGTAGCAGATGAACTCGTCCACTCCGTGCTGGCTGCACACTCCGCTCTTCAGGCAGGGATTGTACTCCACACAGGGGTACTTCCACAGGCAGTTGAGGGCCAGGTGGCGCGAGACGGTCATCTCGGGGAAGCCCAAGGGCAAATCGTTCACCTGGATGTCTCGCATGCAGCCCTTGAAACTGATTTCGTTTATCCTCAGACCTTTCCCGATGAGCCGGCGACGCATCTCCTCCTGGACGCCGCCAAAGAAGACGCTCTTCTCGAGATTTATGCTTTCCTTGGACTCCTCGCCATGCTCTCCCCGATAGGCCACCGGGGCCTCGTCGAGGAACAGTTCCGCCATGGCGGCATTGTAGCTGAGAAGAACGCGGTGCCATTTGCCGTCGGAGATGGACTCATTTGTCATGAACTGTACCAGGCTGCCGGCCTTGTTAAAGGTCACCTTCAAGCGCTGGTCCTCGATTTCCAGCAGCATAAAGTCGAAGCCGCCGTTGAAGAAGATAATTCCGGCACTGGCCATCGTGCGGAATTGGAGACTAAGACTGAAAACAGCAAGCCGCAGTTAAGAAGCTTCGTTGGAGGACTGCTACGTTCTGGTACTCACGATTCGCCTGTGGCATGCGACTCCTTGTGCATTAGGGAGTAAGAATCGTTGCTCAGGAAGCTAATGTTGTCCTTGGTGGAACCGTCAAACTCAGTGCTGCAGGACCACGACACTCCTTTGCTGGTGGTGTGGCTGGTGCGGTCCTTGGCCCGCTTGATGATGTTGATGTTGTTATAGAAGACCTAGACACAGAATACTTAACATCCAATACATTATTCATATTTTGAGTGTACTTACATCCGATATGCATCCCCGGAAACCGATCACATCATCCAAGAACTCGGCCGAAAAGTCCCCCACGCCACCCAGAAACGTTCCAAAGTGAATATTGAGGGCAGAGAGCTGGCCCGGCAGCTGCTTGCGCATTATGTACCCATCCACCTGTAGAGTGATGTTGTTCTCGAATCTCTGGACCGCCACGTCGTGCCACTCCAAGTCGTTGAGCTTTTGCTTTTTGGGTGAACGCAGCTGAAATCCGAATCGCCATAATTACACACATATGTTTCCGAGGGAATCTCTATGCCTCGCTCACCTGAACCACATCCCGTTCGATTTTATAGCTGAAACTAATGATCCCGTTCTCCAGGCGCAGCAGGCAGTAATCGGTCCGACCGGCGGCCAGAAAGAGGAAGGCGTTCTCCTGCCTGGTGCGAAACTTGACGCGAATGTTCGTTGACATCTTGGCCTCCTGGAGGGGCATCGAAACATAGCCATCGCCGAACAGCGACACTGTGGGTGGATCAACAGATGCAGATACAGATACAGATTGAGGTATGCAGATACAGTTGATGGCAAATAGAAAATGTGGAATTGAAATTGACAGTGTCGGAGATGCACGGAATAGTGTTAAGATATTGTTGGGCTGTCATTGATACACAAACCAGTCCCGCACTCATAATGTTGCAAGCACTGCCGCCAATTTGATTGGCAACCGCACTCCACTGGAATCCGTATGTACAAATTTGTCCAGATCGGATCGGAGGAGATCAGGCCATCAGCTGTCGGGCTGTCAGTCACTGTCTCTCGAGGTCACTCAGTTCGTCAGTCAGTCAGTCAGTCTTTGCATATCTATTCAGGCTATCTATTGAGAGCCATCTTTTTTATCTTGATTTGCTTAATTAGTTGTGGAGCTTTGGAACGTGCCTCAATTTGGAAACACAAAAGCAAAGTACACAAACGTTCTCGGAATAAGTTTCGTTCGAATTCGACTCGATCTCACCTCCTGAAAATCGCATGATTAATGACTTTCTATATTCCGGTCTACGCTTGTGCAATAAATTATTTTCGAACCCGACATTTGTCGAAACATGAAACTCAACTTTAGTTGAGATATTTTAAGAATTTTTCCGACAAGGGGAGATGTTTTGTTAATGTTTGGCTATGCGTGTTTTTCGCTGCTTCTGCTGGCTGGCTGGCTGGAATATTGATATAACCCACATATGTGTATGGAAAACTCTGGAAAAACATTGGAACAGTTGCATGCGAATGGCAGACAAGCGGCAGACAGCCGGATAAACAGTCAAACAAAGCAAAATGGGCAGCAAATAGAGTCAACCATTGATGCGTTGGCCGGGTCCATTTTGCCGCCAATTAGCGGCAATCAGGCGTCAAAAGTGGCGGTAGACCCACAAAAAACACTTTCCCATCCGTAGTCCCATGCATTTGACCCACATAGGGAAAGGCTGCTTCTGGCGATGCTGCCTAAGATGCGCGTGCCGCCTTGAAAGCAAAACAAAGGCGGCCGAAGATGCGGGGGCGTTATCGTTACTTAAACAACAGCATGGAAAGTGGAAAACACAGCAAAGATGCCTATACTCTTAAAAATATATATCTTTTTGTCCAAACACCAGACAATTTTAGGCTAAAGGCGTTTTGCAACAAAGTGGACACATGTCTTTAACCATTTAACAGTGATTTCCGCTTAATCACCTCTTTGTTTAAGATCTTATTTATTTAATGTTAAGTCCAATGCCTTACCATTGCCCTTACTTTATAAAGCAATACATTGTTAAAAGCGAGGGCGCACACATGCCTTTCAGGAAGTGTTGGACTCCCAACAATAAATGCAATTTGCATCCAAGAACGCGATGCAGCCGCTGGCAACGTCAAGTCGAGGAGCGTCAGAAGTCATTTCAAATGTCGGCCGGCAACAAATGAGACATCATCAGGGAAAAGTCCGTCCAAACATGGGGAAACATCAGAAGCGAGCGCGAGGCACAAGACTTATGGCCACAGATGCCGGCCAACTCCACCCCCGCAGACCGAAGCTCCCCTATCAAATGCTAAATTTATGTTTATCTTTGGGGAGGGGGAGTTGGCCAGGTAGCCGGCGCATATTTATGTTATGGCCAATGTTTATTTTATTTGAGTTATATGTCGCCCGCTGCCTCTTATGGCATTAAAGTTATTCGTTTGGCTTGTGTAGATTTTATGACTGCGTCGTTTCTCTGTTTGCTTTTTTCAGTAATTAATGCTCCTTTGGTGGCCCGCTGAAGTCGGTGTTCATTAAAAACTTTATCTGACATTGGCAATTTATAAATTATTTTTCGTTCGGAGCTTTCATTTCTCTAATAATGTCAAAGTTTATTAGTGGTGCCTGTGATTTGTGGGCTTGTTGCGTGATCTTGAGTGGATTTCTGCCGTTGCAACTTGCAGCTAAAATTTATGATGGCTGGTATTTATGGTAGATAGATCCCCTTATGGCCATTAATAGGCAAATCGGCGCTCGCACAGAGGTATTGGAATTTAAACTACAATTTTATGTTTATATGTTTTATATACCTCTTGTATTTAGTTTTTATATTTCATATTTTATTTAACTATTTTGTTCCGCTTCAAACATGTACATATTTGTTTTCTGCCTAGACATTTAATAACTTAATGAAACAGCATTCCCAATTACTGATTTTCGATTAATGGAGTTATTAAAATAATATACATATAATGGTAGGGAAAACCTCCAACTGAGGTCTCTTTCGGTTCGAGTCCAATACTCTTCTATTGTTCGGCATGTGGGTCGGTTTAGTTATAATAGCTTCAGTGGGCGCATGTTACCTCAGCTCCAGTGTAAGTGTGACACATACAGAGCTTCCAAGGATCTAATCTTTCATCTAAATTTCAGGACGCAGTGGTGTTCAAGATGACCAACGTTGTCTGTGAGAGCTACAATCAGTCCTGGATTGTGATAAACCTTTGCCGCCTGAAGGCTGTTGGTCGCGATAAGGTAGTTTTCAATATGAATCAGACCGTCCTACACCCGGTAAACAGCGTACAGGTACACGCAAATGTTTTGAAGAAAGCCAATGGATATAAGCCATGGGTTGTCAGTACAAAACTAGATGTCTGTCGATATTTGCGGAAGAAGTACAACCCATTCGCCACAATGATCCACGGATTGTTTGGGGAGTTTTCCAACTTCAATCACACGTGTCCTTATGTGGTAAAATCCATGGACTTATTTACCTCGGATTATGTTTTAATTTGAAACATTTTTAGGGTCCACTAATCCTCAAGGGATTTTATCTTAGGCCTGAGTTAGTCACACTTCCCTGGCCCACTGGCGAGTATATGATAACCATGAAGTGGTTCTATTATCACAGACACCAATCCGATATAAATATTTCATTTATTTTTCTCGAGGACCTTCACCGTACAAAATAAAAGATCTCTAAAGTTGCAAATAATATATGCCTATGTTTTGTCTTCCTCAATATCTTAGGCACATGGAAGGATTTCCTTTTGAACGGAATCTAGACTTTCTTGATATATAAGTTAAGTGTTCATCTATTCATTTTTTGTTTATGATACTGGATAAAGCTTATTGTCCTGCATTTTTGTGCTAAAGTCCAATACTTGCTGCCTATTTTGTTCCGCTTTAAACTTTCAATAAAAAACTCAGTTGCGCTTCAAAATGGTTAAAACTAAGTATTATATCGAAAATCATTTAAAATTACTCATTGAATATTAATGATACTTATCAAAATAATTATCATAATAACTTGTGGCTTGAATGTGGCTTGAATTTAATCGCCAAATACTTTTCGATTGTTTAGCATGAGGTTCGGTTTAATTTTAATGGCTTCACTCGGCACGTGCCTATTACTTTCTAGTGTAAGTGAGGCACAAGTGTACGAGTATATCCTGTAGCGCCTAATTTGTGAAATTTCAGGAAGCTGTGATTTTCAAGATGACCAACGCCGTCTGTGTGAGCTACAACCAGTCGTGGATTAAGGTTGACCTTTGCCGACTAAAGGCTGTTGGGCGTGATAAGGTGGTGTTCAACATGCAACAAACTGTTCTCCATCCGGTCAACAGTGTCCAAGTGCACGGAAGTGTTTTGCAAAAAGCCAGTGGATTTAAGCCGTGGATTGTCAATGCCAAGCTTGATATCTGTCGTTACTTAGAAAGAAAAAACAACCCAATCGCTCGGATTGTCCACAGTTTCTTTGCCGAGTTTTCCAACTTAAATCACACGTGTCCATATGTGGTAAGATCGTAGGACACATTTCAACTCTCGCTTATTACAATCTGAACAACTTTTAGGGCCCACTGATCATCAAGGATTTTTATCTTAGGCCTGAATTATTAAAGCTCCCCTGGCCCACTGGCGAGTACATGCTCAGCTTGAAGTGGTTCTATTATAACAGACACCAATCTGATTTAAATGTTTCCTTTGTTTTCGTCGAGGATTTTCGCAAAGGAAAAAAAGGTAGTTCTACCAATCTGAAAAATAATGTGATCTAATTTTTTGGCATAATACATATGAAACATGAAACTTAATACATAAAAAATTCAGTTTTTAAAATAGTGGTCCTTTGTAATGTCCATAACTATGCCGAAACATTAAACGATTTCAAAACGTATCCATTTCCATCAAAACTCGTCTATCCAATTTTTAATACATTTTACATAAACTTTTTTTTGGGTAACCCCTTGTAACCCCCAATTGGAACTTCACTTATGATCTGTAGCTATTAAAAAATTTATTCTAGAACCCTTTGCACCACAAGAATTTGTTCTTAAAATTTTTTTTTTGGCTATAATCTTTGCTGTAATTCCTGGGATCTTCCTGGCAGTCATCAAAATTGTTTTTCCGACCAATTCCACATTCTCCGGCTTAAGAGATCAATCTAAATCAAATAAAAACCGCGTTGGGAAACCCATTCTCCCCGCGTTTATGGCCTCGATGGGGGGATGAGGGAACATGTGTTGCTGTTGCCAACGTCTTCCCCCTAATTAGACTCCGGGGTCGCATAGAATTTAATTATTCCATGGCTGCTTACCCTTTGCGATCGACAATTGAGCATTGCATCGACAAGTCATAAAGATGCATTTTCTCATGACTCAGAAGAGGAGGGAAAAAGAAAAAATAATTGTCGCCAAAATAAATTACTGGAATCATTGAACACACATGCAGGCTGGCTGCTTTTACTGCCTACTGCAGTTGCCATTGGGCATGTGTTGATATTTATATTGCAAATGCAAATGAATAATCAAGCGGCGACACAGAACGGCAGATGGCGCAGACCAGATTCAGATACACATACGAGTGGCCCGGCAGATACATACGATTGTGTTAAATTTGGCACAACGCTGTGCGCGTGTAAATGATTTACATTCGCGTCCAAATAAAAAATAAATATAGGTAAGTGTACGTATACACCGATCGCAAATGAAGCAGACCAAGAAAACAGAGAGTGATAAACAATTTGGGGATGATTCACGTTGGC